ATCCGTGGATTCTCTAGTTTCAGACTCACCCGGTGAAGCACCATGCAACAGGCATCCATTAACACACCGGCGAGTTGGCAATGAATTAAAGGGAGTTACTGCATTAAGCGTTCTGCTATTGATGTTGTCATCCTCAGGTGACAGTATCCGGTGGACAGTCAATGAAAGTATGAATGACTTATTTGGGTTTCACACCGCTCTGAATGCGCTTCATAAATTGACAAAATACCATGATGGCTTTTGAAATTCGTGCATTTGTGCATTTCAGTTGTCAGATCTGCAGTTAGCAGAAATTCTAGCAGCACGCTGTTTCACAACATTTTGCAGGACACATAGTGTTTTGTGTTGAATTCTTGGTGCAGGGTGACAGAATAAAAACGATTCGGGGATGTTCGAAGAACCGAACACCATAGTCCACCACTGCGACTCCGATTTAGGATGCAACAGTACGACGCAGTTAGCAGTAAACAACTACGTAGAGGCATTGGCCTCGTTCAGCAGTCTTTGGCCAGAAAACGTATTCAAATGAACTGATAACCATTCATTCAGTATTAAATCCGCAATGAAACCGTAGAAAAGGGTTTCATAACACACAAATAAAATTTGCGTCAAAAAATGTAAAGCTGGCACCTATTAAGAGGTGTTCAGTTAGCAAGTCCTTGTTACCAACTCAAGACATATCTTTCGACCCCCTAAACGAACGAATGTTGATAGAAGACAGACGGATGATGAGGGTATCTCCCATACAAATCGAGTACATTCAAGCAATAACAAGGACTAGAAAGACCGACGTTCAGACTGTTTTCGACTCATTGCGATCGTACTCATTGAGATGACAGTCCTGACCACGACAAATCATTCCTTAGAACCACTTGCCTCTCTGAAACCAATGTTTTATAGGCCATTATTAAGGGACGAACCAAAAGTTACGTCGAGAATCCCACAACGACTGGTGTCGAGCCGATCCCCATGTCGTTACTGCACTCACCAAGGACGTAATTTTTGGAAACGGTCACTATCGTTGATCATCCCAGTTGACTGGAACAGTCTCCTTTTCGCAAATGCAGGCATCGAGATCGGAGAATCTCTGACTGAGAACTTTACCCCACCCTTGGGCTATGCGGGTGAAGGGTCACTGGAATCAGAAACTCGGTGGCGCTTGAGAGAACATATGCAATCATAAAACTCCGGGACTGTAGAGGGTGCTGGGTTCACTGAAGATCCAGGAGTAGTAGTAGCAGTTGATTACAAGTATTGCTATACAGTGTATTCGGTCCAGAGATCGAGGCATACTTCTTCATTCAAGACGATAACGCCAATTTTATCCTTGATGGTTTCGGTCACAGGCGTGGACTGTAGAGGGTGTTGGGTTCACTGAAGGTCCAGGAGTAGTAGTAGCAGTTGATTACAAGTATTGCTATACAGTGTATTCGGTCCAGAGATCGAGGCATACTTCTTTATTCAAGACGATAACGCCAATTTTATCCTTGATGGTTTCGGTCACAGGCGTTCTCCGGGGATCGGTAGCACGGATCAACTAGAATAATCTACTGAGGATTTTGACAAATTCATCTAACTTCGAGATCTGCCAATCTCTTGGTTAGTGAGCCATTTGGCCACCAAGTACGCGGTCCTGGAAAACAAAGCAAGGAGAGTCATAGGGCGAGTGCGAGGATGGGATACACAAATCTGCTCCGAAACGCTAGGCAGTCGGTTTTTAATCCACACCATCTGTATCTGATGGCGATGTGAATGATTGGGGTCAGTCACTGGCCCGCTAATTAGAGAATATCATGCGGCCAAACGACGTCAGTCATTTCGGAATTCGGTGCTCCATAGAAACCGTCTGCAGTTAGCATGTAGCTGAAACAGTCGATCACCATTGTCCCTACGTGCCGCCTATTCATGCATTCGGATATCCGGCAAGTACAACATCTGGGCTTTGAAGTTACCATAACAGGACACTTAAGGCGTCATAAATCTTGTCTTTAATGGTGTCAGAGGTACAATCATTTAGGACGTAAGGAGACACGAGAAACAGACAATGATCGACTTCTTGCTTATGCGACTGTTTCACGGATGTTGCCGGACGAATAGCACGGAGATGACTATCGTCGGGTATTCACTTGAGCGAGGACTATTCCGCTGAAGAGTTAGGACGAAACTGACCCCTTCGTATCCTTCTGCAGCGGCCTCGAGATTGCCAGAGGTGTACAGCCGAAGACGAATACGGAGTGATGGAACAGTGAACTCTTGTTTCTGATAAACGTCACACATCGTTGTGAAGCAAGTTCAGTGTGAGGAAAGGAGTACCTTTTTTCCCTGCTTGCTTCGTGATGTGAGCATTGAAAACAGTCAGAAAAGACCGGGTGTCGAAGCTTGAGGATTGATTTTAAGATCCCTGAGGCTGTTGGTGCTGGGTGACGCACAGATGCCTCAGTCAAGACCAATGGAAAGAGAAAGGAAGTCATCACCAGCATCCTGCTTTCGTCTGCCAACCATGTTGCATGCAGCGAGTAAGGCGACCCGGTTGTTTACACCATGAGGCGTCTATGTGACATGATATAATTCTTAGCTTTGTGTATCGTGGTTTTACATGAGCTGCGATACGGCCAGGGAGCCAAGACCTGGACAGGATGATTGGTTCGGTCCTGAACCGGAGATTTGCCTCAATAATCTGACCGTTACCCAGCATAAAACCGTCAGAGCAACCCACATTCTCAAGGATCAAGTCGCTACACACGTTTCGAACTCAATCTGGAGGACCAGGAGGCCGTGCTAGACCTCTAACCACTGGCCAACCTTGTACGAGAGACTGCAAATGTCGCGTAGATCATGGTCAGGCCCAGTCTCTTCTTGATAGTTATGTTAGACTTGATTCGGCCAATACCAACCAGTGAATCCACCTATATTGGTAGTGGGTGGATTGCAAGGGTGGAATTCCAAGGGGGACAAGCATTCCAATGAGCATTCAGCGGCACGGATGTCATGAAGCCATATTTAATTCGTATCAGCGTTTAATTGTCTGGTTCACCGATACGTCCAGACTCCAAGTAAGTCCAAGTGTCCAAGCTGCTTGTGGTGCAAATTTCGCTTTTCGAAGACTATTCAGTTCCTACAAGTTTGGGTTGGGAGAATCTATTGGCACCTAAAGTATATTTATACTTGCATAGATAGTTTCGCATAACTAATCTGGGTGATAATGAGAATGACTGCCACTCACCATATGCTCATTGAGCAATTTGCTAAGCCCGGGTCAGCTAAAGATGATATGTTGGATTCTTCAGGAACCCCATTCTTATATTACCAGATTGCTACAAACACCAAATAGTTGAGCCAAGCCATATGAGGGATTTTTTAGCTAAGGCCGGACAGTTTATCATACACAATTACGATAATCAGGATTTGTTCGGCTCTATAGTCAACAGTTGGTATGGTATTTGTAAATGACTTCGCTTCTAGCCTCCTTCGTTTGTGACATAGAAAAGGGCGCACGAAATAGGAGAAACTGGAAGCATAACTTACTTCTTTCGGAAGATGAGAAATCGGATGGCACGGTCCCCAATCGTACTCGAGACGATTAAATTTTGTGTGATGAATGCAATTGGCAAAAATCACAAATACACCTGCAGAAGAAAACACGTAGAATAAAAGTGTGGTTCAAGGTTTACGAGGTCTGTCAACGAGATTTGTTAATTTTTCATGACCTATGGGCTCATCGCTATACAACAAAACTACAGCTGATGAATCTGTCCAGAGTAAAATATCGCAAGCCTGTTTTCAGATGTGTTGGACTGGCGGTGTGAAACGAGTGAACCTGGGTGTTGCATTACGTTTTTTTCCTCTGGTTAATCGCGTTTTCACCACGGACTGGCGTTTTTATTGTGCGCCACTTTGAAGCATGATCAGTTATGTTTTAGTTGCGATCTTTAGGTGCCAAATGAATAAGTTGTGGATCAACACTTAGGTACCCCGGGTTTAAGCTCCCTATGGAGCCGACTACTAACCCGGTTCCAGATATCTGTGCACAGATACTTCAAAACTAAAGAGAGAAAGAGACCTGCATAGGTTGATTGGTAATGGAAAACATGACAACACCTGCAGGGTTCTTCTATACCTCCGCCTTTCGAGCAGCGCGGATGACCTTTGTCAAAAGCGAAGTAGTCGGAATGCCGAGGCGTAAAATANACAAGGATCGCCGATATCTGTCTCTATATGGTTAGAATCCAAGATGCTGTTCAAAAGGTCAATATGTCACTATTCCACGTGCGTTGAGTTTTTCACCGCTAGTCAATCTGAAATAATTAAACAGAACGTACAACCTATTTGACCTCACTTGCCCTGAGTGCAATACAAACACCCCATGATTTCTCATTCATTTTTGGGGCGTACATATGTGAACCGAATGCGAAGCAAGACTGCAAAAGACAATAGATCACCAGATATTATTCAAAGTGAAATTAAACGGTACGAGAAAACTGAATTTGATGAGACATGTAACCTTCGGTATAATGTATATCCGTTGGCTTGGTGAAACAATGTGCACCATTTCAGCAGTCCAAGTAGTCGGATTCAAAGGTGTGATAATGTAAACCATGCCGTATATCTCCAGGCTTTGTAAACTCTATGTGATCCGACATTTTTCCAATCGGTTTCACCACGCTCCCATGAACCTGACTGACAAATTTTCAGATGAATTTTCCAGCTAAACCGCACCTTATGAAGAGCGACTTCTATTGTGTGTAACGGGTAATTTTAGAAACCGCTGTAAAGTCAGCTGAAAAATCTTCAAAGATGTTTCCGAATCAAGACTTGGTCTCTTGCCACGCAGACTTTCTAGCAGATTTGACATTGAATCAAACTTGGCACAGCAGAGCAGATGCTGAGTCGTCATTCTAGCCGTCCGGTCTACCAATCACCTCACTGAAGCTTGAGAATGTTCGCTGTACAGCGTTCACTGGTGGAATAGTGATAACGCGCTCACCTCGCACGTCAGACATTCAGATTTGAAACCCGGGCAAGTTCAGAGATATATACTCCTGACGAACTTTGATGAGGGAGAAACTCGAGCCCAGTACATCCCCCCTCTGGTATAGACTCACCAGAAAGAAATAATCCAGACAGGAGGACAACTGTTCGAACGAGCGATATGAAATCCTTCAGCTGCAGGACCCTTTCGGCGCCTAGCTGCCATATCACATGAAGGAGGTACGAGGGTTGAAATATTGTCAGGTTGCCCATGCCTAGACAGGGGCAGTCGAGTGGCAAAGGTCGGGTTCGAACCGTGGACCTTCTGGTCAGTAAATTCGTGCTCTAACCACTTAGTCCACCTCGCCCCCACGAGCGATATGAGCGTGTACGCCATACCTCATTCGTTCAGTTACCTACGCCACATCTGTACTGATCAATCTTCGTTACCGCCTTCGTGCCCGTCAGAGCTCCCCTACGCGTCACTCACCTTGCCACCAGCCATCCAGCCTGACAGTGATTAGTATGTTTTAGAGGCCCTTCTTACCCATTTGCTTTCGGGCTTCGCTTGCTGGGCCTGGTCTGACCCTCTGTCTTGGCGCCCGTATGCTCATGCCACCGGTAAGAATCACGGGACTGGTCACGAAAAGGATGCCTAACCCCATACCAGCTTTAGTTCTTTTCTGGTGTGCGGTTGACGCTGCGCTGTGCCGGTCTGCGACAGATAAACTTGCGCACATTTTAAAGATATGAACACGGACACTTCAGATATGTTGTATACTTTTGCTCATTCGTTTGTAAGATGTTCCGTAGAATTTCGATCATGGCTCAAGGTTCTAAATCAATGACTCAGCACTCGCTTACAAGCGGCAAGAGCCTGGTTACAGAGCAGTCTGTCAGGTACACCGATCCTCGGGTAACAAAAAATGTGCTGTGTTTGAATGACTGACACCCTTATATCACTCTTCATTCACACTAACAGTTAATAGACACTTCTTACAAGCTCCAATAATTTTTGTGTCCAAATTGTTGACAATCTACGCTCACCTATGTGGGAAGTTGATGACGGTGGTCGCATTATGACTTACATTACTCGGAATTTTATGTTCGCTTTTTATTAGCTTTTTGAACATCAGTATCTTCCGGAAGACCTGAAGCGGTGGGTGTGCCGATTCTTCTATCATACGTACGCGGGTGTAGAATTTTATTGACTCACTCTGATTGCAAAAACAGTCTGACTAGAATTTCGCTCCTAAATTATCCCAAATACGGTGACCGTTTTAGCAGCCATGTAGCCCCATACCTGAATTGTACATATTTGTAGGTGGTATCGAACCAGTTGCATTTTTACAGCAAGACGTCTACAGAGAATGAGCATGACAGGAAACAAATGGCAACTTCTTCTAAAAAACGAAGTACCGTGATTATAATTCACTAGTGATCAGAACACAATGTGATTTCCAACAAGACCGACTTTGTGTCTCAAGATTGTAACTTGAGTTCCTTTCAGTAAGTGTCGTGATATCAACCTCACTAGCTTCCGCAGTACAAGAAACCGCCCTACAAAAACAAACCTGATTCTGCTTGAGTTCTTAGATTGAAAGAATTTGTTGTAGGACTATTGGACTGACACCGCCATAGCCAACCATTGGTCTAAGTTTCGCTCGGTAACTTCACAAAATGAATGGGATATACGAGGAATGTGGAATAACAAGAAATCTGATGGATGCCAAATATTTACTACTAGCTAGTTAATTTCTTTTTCTGTTTGGAAATAGCCGAAAATCAAAGAGTCATGAATCCCTAGCTGTTGATCAAACGGCAAAGCTCGGCCGAAGGCCTAAGATTTTTTCGCCATGCGAGGAGGCATCGTAAGTGCACGGTTGGCTGGATCAGTCAACCAGCCGCGACTGCAACGCCGTTCTAAGTTAGTTGGTAGCCGAACAAAATGAACTACCTTTCTCCAACCCCCCACAATGTCGATCGATCCATCGCTGTTGTCCGAAAATTGTTGAGAAGAGCGAAAAAAACGCCAACTAATAATCAGAACTAGACTCTGTCTTGTAAGTAAACTTACAACAAAGAATTTCTATCTGAGAATTCGCTCGGGAAAAAAAACAGGCAAACTTTCCTAATGATGTCATAGAGCCTTACCAAATTTATTTGTTTGGAATGTTACATAAGTAGCAATATGTGCACTTTCAGCTGATTTTTCAAGTAAAGTCTTTGGTGCGTTCAAGATATTACCTACTTATTTAGACTCATCGTGAGCGAAACTGGTCGGGTCTGCTGAAAAGTTTTCAGTAACTTTGTGAGTAATTTCCTTCAAGCCTATAGATCTGCTTCCTCTGATCTTACTGAAATCACTAATCCTCTTGTGTGTTCATAGAGCAATAGTGAGCAACAGCACTGAGTCTGTTGTCCTGTTCACACTGACATTGGTATGGAAACACTGAGTATAAACTAATCATAATCAGTGAATCGATGAACAGTTTTTTTCAACGCTCCAGTACTTCCAAAAATCAAGTAAAGCTGTGCTTTTATATAACTAATAAATTATTCTGGTATGTCACGCAATTGCGCGAATTATCGATTCAGAATGAATTGAAACTAGTCTTCCACCAAAAGCCTTTGTCTTTCATCAGTAGGGTAATCCCGAACAATATCGATTCACATGCGAAGTTCTAAGAATGCCATAAATAATTCAGTAATCACAGGGCTTACCCGAAGTGACATGCAATACGCCAGTTACCATTGAAGCAGGTACAGTACGGAAGACAATCGCGAATGTCCCGATCAGAGCTGAACCGACCATGCACAGATATACGACAATCACGCAAGATATAATGTTGTTTTGCATTTCTGCATCAAGAAAGTGAGATCGCGTATTTAGCAGTAAGTATGGTATTCAGAATGTCATATTTATACTAAAATATAACCAGACCAAAGGAATTAACCGATCCACATAAACAGTCAATGGATAACTAGGAGTGTTGTTAGCCTATTGGGTAATAAATACTTCTTATTTTAAGTAACTGAGTCTAATAACGCATTACTCTGGTCTTCTTTAATGGTCCGTTAATTTATGATTTATGATAAACAGTCAAGTAAACATGCTACCTAGAAAGCACATTGGCAGGTGAGTGATTTGAACCTAATTTGCATAGAACACTGTTCACCTCACTTGTAAACCTCGGCATACGCTACGAAAAGAAGAAAGTCTTAGCTGCAGAGTTATTTATTAAGAAATGCTGACTGACCGGTTGCAGACCATTGGACAGGGAAGCAAAACTTTCACATGCATCTTGTTTATGAAAACTGAATATCCGCCTTCTCGAACGCGTCTTCCTGAATTCTCCTGGATGCTCACTAACTATCACTCAAATGTAAACGAGTGCTACAAAGCAATTCCACAAATTCCTTAGTAAATCTTACTTTTCAATGGACGCGAAGCGGACTTACGAGAAAACATGCTATACTCGCGTGCCATCAGTAGTATCACGTTACACCAGTAATGTTTTCACGAAAATGCCGTCAACTCTACATGCTTGTCAAATACTTGATGAAACACCACGAAAGTGGTTTCTAGTATTTCTAAGCAGTTTTTTTACACGCATGGATATTGTGATTAAAAATGTCTGAGGGGGAAATATCTTGTTTCATTAACGCAGTGATTAACCTGGTAAGGCCCGTAACTTTCGTTGTTCAATAATGAGAGTGGGGTTTTGAATACTGTTCATTCTCATTTGAAGTCTGATTGCAAACCCGGACGTTTTCATTAGTAGAACAGCATAGTGAAATAATTTCCCAAGCCAATTTTTTTCACCCAACCTGTCAAATTCTTCAATTACTCTCATCTTCAACACTAGTTTCCTTAGGTTGAATCTAAGTAATTATAAGGCATCCTATAACACAAAACCATAAGCTTAGTTCACCGACGTCGTAGATCAATAGAAACAAGCTATTAGTTACGTGAAATGTGGTTACTATTCTTTCATTTTACACTAACAAAAGCGCACTCAGCAACTTCATGAAATTAGGGCACTTCTCAAAACTTTGTCTGTCAGTATGTCATACGTCAAATACATAATCACCCTTATGCTGTCTTTATTTATACATTTTGATATAACTACGGATTTTTTCAAACCGTTATATCCTCCACTGGTAAGCACTCTTCCGCTGATGGGAAGGATATTGCATTTTCGCTGCAAAACGATTCTACACACCTTTACTTGCTGTGCTTAAATATGGAAAACATCGGTATCCTAGTTCTTCAGGAAGGAAAGTTCATAATCCAAGCATGATACGAACCCAGACAACTAGGGGAAGCTTATGGCCGATCAGGGTGTCATTGATTTAATAACCAATGTTAAAGAATACGCAGGTCTGTACGTAATACATCACTTAATTACATCATAATTGAGAGTTTCAGCTAGATTTCAAGCGACCTTCACATCAAAACCAAATTGGTATGCAAACGGGTGTGTAGGTCAAATGCTGGGCGAAATTTCGCTTTTAAGCAGAAGGCTTTGTTTAGTCCAGTGACTAGGTTACAGATTTAGCTGAATGTTGAGGCACATGGAGGACCACGTGCAAGAAATCATGTTGACAGCAACCTCCTTTGGTGCTGGGTGAAGAAGACGGCGTATTTCGCGCAATACACTCGTTTGCACACCTTTCTGGCTTTCATATGAGAGTCAGTTGAGTCCCAACTGATTCTCTCGTTTATGATATTCTTCTTCAACAGGATGTGCTGCACAGTGGCCTCCTGATAGTTCAGTTGGCACCATATTGTAGATACCGCAATACATTGTATACACACGGTATGCCATTGTGGAGATTTCGTCCTGTGGGTGAAGCCAAGCTATGCCGAAAATCCGAGAAGCACTGTACAGCTGTTTCATCCTTATTCGGAATCACCAGCAGTGCGCGTCTCACGAAACTCCGAAGAGTCTCGAACCCGCGACCTCCCGGCTAGTAGTTTGAACACTTAATCGTTCGGCCACGAGTGACTGATCAGCAGTGTGATTAACTCGCACTTAGACAGGATATAGCGCCGCTCATCATTAAATCACGAGATACACATCACGCGGTAGGTAAAGTCAATGCATACCGAAGAGCCGAGAAGCAATGTACGGGTGCTTCGCTCTTGCTGGGATTCACCAATAGTGTGCGTGTCACGAAACTCTAGAGTTTGGAGCCAGTGTCCCCTTACTAGTAATTGAACACTTAACCACTCGGTCACAAGCGATGTATCGGCAGTCCAGTTAGGCAGGTTACAACGTAAAACCAACCGGTTTTATGCAGTCTCACTTGCATCAAACATCATTAAATTGTAAAGTACAGAGGACATTCATCGATAGGGCACTAATAAAAGTTAAAAAGTCTTTATTTAACGAGCGACAAAATAGGCATAAAATCCTGAAGTGGATTCCATCTGGAAATTAGATACGGCTCAGTCCTTGTCAGTCTACTCCATCTTCACGTGATCAGTAGTCAACAAATCCCAACATTAACTAATTCTCACAATTTACGATTGAAGTACCACACTCGTCACTGTTACGATTTTGTGGACCGTTCTTTGGTTGCTTGTCTTCAATTCTGAGAGCTGAATGACTTCTTTTCATGTGAACAGGAGTTTGCCAGTCCGGTACGTAGTTAGATCTAGGATAAGTTAGGATATCAAATAAAATTAACTTGAAATCGGACACGTGGAACTCTGACAAGATGCCCGAACAATATTCGAAAGAAACCAAAAGCTGATGAGAGCTCTGACATAAACACTCCTATCGGATCACAATTCATAGTCAATCAGATGCTTTTTCCGTACAACGACTATATCAACAATGTTGCCCAGGTGTAATGCTATTTACATAACTCGTTTTATTTCCTACTGGATGCACATAAATGAAAAAATTGCATGCAAATCTTTCATAGTACTCATTTTTCAGCACAAGTTTACTTACTCAGGTAATATTGTGTGCAGCTTATTCCTGACTCTGAGAGGTTCTGAGCAAAATAGGACAATTTTGAGCTGGATATTGGCGGGGTTTTGCAGTATGTGTAGTAGTGCGGCAAGAAGCTGGTGTCGTAAATATCTGAAAAATAAAGAAAACGCCGCTGATTAAGCTCTGGTGTTAAAAAACTGCAGTGCTGAATGACTGATTCCGTTTAGTATTGCACTTTTTTTAACAAATATCCTTCCTGCCTGCAATTTCACTAGGTACCTTGGTGCCTTGCAGTAGCGCAGCTAGTAGGACTGACAGGGAAAGCTTCGAATGAATAAATATTTTTCTACCCTTGAAGGGCGCGCTCAGCGGTATATTTATTTGAACGCAGAGGGATTGCAAATCACAGTTATCACATTAAATAAAGCGTTTAAATTTCTTGTTATTATGAACACCCCATGACAGTGTTTCTGAATTATAAAGTGAAATAGGCTGGAGAGGATGATGGCAATATTGTATTGGGGCCAGAATTTGGCTAACACCAAAATAATCAAGAAAGGTTCAATCACAAAAGGACTAGTTCGGAGCCCTAAAAAGACCACAAAATAGTGCCCTTATTTAACGTTGACAAGAGAAGATTCACTACGATATGGGTGGTGATACCAGGAATATGGAGTTTAGACGTTTTCCTGAACCTTTTAAGTTCGTTTCAACAGCCTGTTCAAGAAGAGGCCATGGCATTGAGCACAGGCCTATTTTTACCCTAGCTTCAAACCACGACTGTTTTTGTACCGTTTAGATTCAAAACCGCAACGCAATCACTAATCGCCTGTTTGCTGCGCGCATTTTCCTGATGAACGCATGGCTTTGAAGGAGAAATTGGATAGACGTTCATGTGTATTTCTCCAGTTCCTGCAGATCCCTTGTCCCAGTTCATGGCTTGCCAGGATTCTCCGTCTCGGCCTACTTTTATCTTCGCACTTTCTTAGGTATGTCTGCCGTCTCATGACTTACTCTTGTTTTGGGTCCCTGAAGTTCATCCCTGATTGCTTTTCAGGCACCTACGTCTTCCTGGTCTGTTTGGTGGTCATTCTGAAGCAGCGGCTTTGCTTTGAATTGCCGTCATACCACTGTGTTTGTTGTACAATCCTTAGGAATTACTGATTTTTTCTTCAGAATATCTTCACAGGAAATCTTCACAATGGAATGTAAGTTTTCTGTGCTTGTTGTGCTGCTTCAACGAAGTATCAGCATAGTGAAAATGCAAATGGATAACAAACTACAACCCTCTTTTGAAATTCCGTGGATGATTAACTGTCAGATGAAATGTTAAATAACGTCTACATGAAGACGTTTCGTTCAGAGACAACTGTCCACAGTTTGGCAAACGATGTTTGTGGTTTGAACTCCAGCTGTTGTACGGCGCAGAATTTATTTCTTGAAGGTTCGTTTGTTATTCAAAGAGTGCTTTTGATGCTTCGTAGCCTCCGGTTAGTTGAAGTTTACGGTAATGGATCTCATAGGACCAACCTCTTTACTAACAGACAGGGAATGACACTGGTCAAATATCTACACCACTGTCTGTGATATACATCGAAAGTGGTGTATTCTCAGGCAACCCTACATTGTTCGTGAGAAGGTTGGCTGGATTACTGACGACCTAGTTCGACCTTTACGCACTGGATAAACTTGAATCAAAAAGCCTGACATCCATTTTACCGAGACACACTTTTCCATAGAAAACTATGCAGTTCCACTCGGTGTTAATTGAGACTCCACAACACTATTTTATATGACGAGCCTGTTGTCATTTCGACTCCTTAATACTATTTGTTTCAATGCTCCATGCCCTAAAATCTGTTTTCGAACTTTCGCCCGACTTTTGTCCTTGAGCTAGAACCAATCTTCACCTTATCCCTGATGACGACGATACGTTTAAAGTAAAATACAAATCTTGGATATTAGCATTCAAAACGCGTGACAGAAATGATTAACCCGACTCTGTGATTGTCTACAGATTTTTATCGGTTTGATGACACAAAAAGTAAACAACTATGTATGCAAATACAGTCTAAAATATTAGTGCAGACGATTCCTGATGAGATTAGCAAACTCTTGTTTTTTCTATTCCTTGTGGCAGCGTGGTCCTAGTCATCAAGGCTGACCGAGAAGCAGTGTGTGTTGCATGGGGTTACCTGATTTTTATCGTGTGGTCGTAGTATCCATCATAAAAGTCCTTTTCCCATGACCATGTTCTTGTAACTGGATCCTAAGCTACATTGTTTTGTTTTAGATATGTTACTACTGGACGAAGCTGATGCTTGCATGAACCTTTTCTCTATCAGGAAATCACACCCAGTTGAGTAGAACCAATAGTGAAGGTCGTTTGTCTTCGCGCACTCCCACCACTGAGAATGCGCTACCTTTTTATTGCGTGGTAACGTATGCCCTGGAATAGTGACAATCACTCCCTCCACCCGCATAAAAATATCTTTTCTCAATATAAATCGGCCCAATGTGTTCTTTATACAACCCGTCTAATTTGCTTTTATCCTCATTTTTATACAGTAGGCTAAGATTAGCGATTATACAGTCATTTGCAAACTAATTTGGTTTTTTTAGAGAGACCCACCTGGAACCCAGCTGAATCTCTCGTTTATGATGTTCTCAGGCTGTCGACGGATTTTTCAGCAACTTATGAGTAGTACACTAAAAAATAAGCTAAGAAGTTTTTGCATGGGAAATTTACAGAGATGTCTGGACTTCTATAATCAAGTAATGGGGATACCGACACCTCAAGTGCCACTGAGGACCACGAGTTAGCTTTGTGCTGAAATCTTTCAGTCAGGCGAGCATACAGGTTGTGAAGTGACATAAGATTCCTCGTACCTGGAAGTGTGTGTTGCATGGACCATATTCCCGCGTGATAGTTCATCACAATCCAGGCAGATTCTAACGATCCGGCCCCAAAATTGATGAAATATCTATCGTTCTCTCCGAGACCCAGTTTTGCCTGTTTCCGAAAGCGAACTGCATGCAAATCAGGTGCACTTGTTTGCGGCGTCGGTGGTTCTGAGGACAATAAAATATCGGTTTCAAGCTGTTCAGGAGTTTCTAATCGCACAACTAGTCCGCAAACTTGCTTTGCTGTGTATGGCTCTGTAATATGACGATTTTTAAGTAGTTTCACATCATCAGGGTGAGCAAGATGTCGGTTTTCGAAAACAATGTAGTCTATTGTAAAATCACGAGTTGCTGGCATTGGGGGAAGCGTTGAGTTCTCCAGCTTGTCCCATCTGGGTGGTGTGAGTCCGTAAGTAAATGAGAACAGATAAAAGACTTTTTCAAAGTCGTATTTCACTGATTCCCATGTAGGTGCTTGTGTTGCAACCAGAAAAACTAGATATGACAAAGAGGACAAGAGTAAAGCACACAGTAGGCTTCGGCGGTAAGCCAAGTTGACAGGCAACGGTTTAGACCTGAGACTCCATTTTGGTGACTTTTTCTTCACTGGAAGTCGTGCATAAAGTGGCGTTATTGTTGTGGTGATCCCGACTTGCCCCACATTGGACAACGAACTGGATCGACGGGAAGCAGGAGATGCTGGGCGACTGAACATTTCGTTCTGAAGCCCAGTAGCCGGGATGTATGGTTCGGTTTTCGTTCTAAATTATCTACGCTCCTCACTCGCCTTTGTTTGGGCTAACGTGTGCGTGTGTGTAAACACGTAGGCGCAATCATCCTTTCATCCATGCTGCATTGGATAAACGGGATAAGGCGAGCGTGAGCTGACACGTTAGAGCAGTTTATTGATCAAACACGCTCACCCAGATCGGTTTGTCTTTGGGATTGATCGGACAACTAACAGCTTTGGAAGCAAATACTCATTGAGCTAATAAAAGTGGACCATTGGTTACATGTATTCCACTAATTAAGCATTCCGTGTATACCACGTACCTGGACATGCACAGGAAATGTGTGATTTTTTGGGAGCGCTTGTCGTAATTATAAAGTAACTGGTAAACACTGGCGTGCAGACCGCTAATTCAGTAAAAAATCAGTGCACGACAGAGCTGCAGCAGAGGAGTCTGCCAGTAATTCAACCAATTTCAAAATTTAACCAACTAAGCAATCCACCGTCTTTAGAGCCAAATAAAGATCTATACTATGTAGTTGAGTACTGAGTATAGAATTACGGCGATCGGACGAAAGCAAAAATTTCCACTCTCTGCTTTGGCACGTGGCTTACGGAAGCTTTCCCATAGTTGGACTATCCGAAGTTTGGTCAGTACTTACCCCCAATGTTGGTGATCACGGGATCACTGTCATTGACAGGCCAAACGGGTTAGGTGTAATTCGCCACTAAGCCGTTCTGAATGCAGAAGTACGTAAACCGTAATAATCATCGTACAGCTAATTCAGCAGAGCGGCACCCAGCTTAGAAGAGATTATTATACGTATAAACATGCATACATGGCCTAGAAATGCCACCTCATTTCGGTGGTCAAGCTTTGGTGCTGAAATTATGCTGCTGACTGGAACTCAGCTTGTTAAGGCTCATCCAAGTCGGGAATGCAAACGGAGAACAGTGATATAAAGAACGACTTGTCCCTGTGCTTCAAAAATTCGTAACACAAAGTGACCCAGGTGGTCGTTGCGCTCAGTTCCACAGAATTTCGGTAACAGTAAGATACTCCCCTAGGGGACAAGGCAGTAATTCTACTCTGTCGAATTAGAAAACACCGGCCCCAAATACCACATTAACCGTTCGCCGAACTATTGCACTAGATCGTCAGCGCATTATAAACTGCCACTATAAACTGAATACCTGAAAAACCTTTCGGTACTAATTCAATTGTGTCTGTTTTAACAAAAATAGTTGACGTCAGACAACTGTACGTTTATATCCGCGTCCATAAGCTGGATCAGCGTTCCACTGTCTCATGTATCAGATCTTAAGATGGAATACTACAAATAACTCCTATTCCAATACTGAGCAGACGAAAGGCCTTGTTTTACACAAATGAAGTTGATTTTGAAAAGCTGGACGGTGACTTAATCTGTGACGTAGCATACAGAATCCGAAGACCCTCCTGGACAAGGACATAGAGATCAGGGCAGCTTTTGTGGGTTTTGCAGTGTGGTACTTCTCATGAGCAAAAGCAAGGAAAACTAGAGCTCCGAAGGCTTAAAAAGTGTCACCGTGCTGATTTCTCTATTGCTAATGCGAGTGGCTATGAGTGAAATGAAGAAGTCCTTTGCTGCGGAGTTATTTATTAGAAAATGTCAACTGACCAGTTACAGACTATTGGACTGGGAGGCAAAACTCTCATATGCATCTTATTTGCAAAAACTGAACATTCATCTTCTCTTAAACGCGTCTCCCCGAACTTTCCTGTATATTCATTGACTGTTGCTCAAACCCAAACGAATGCTACAAAGCGACTCCACAAATTCCGCAATGAATCTCACTTTTCGAGAGACGCAAAGCGAATTTACAAGAAAACATACTACTCGCATGCTTCCCCCACCAGTAGTATCACCGGTACGTGGGTAGTCATTGTGTACAAGTCTGCGCCCACTGATTGCGAGTCCAGAGAAATCAATCCACATGTGTTTTTCATTTTATCAATTTTCATTTTTATCCATTTTCAGACACTGAGTACATGGCAGCCCAATCAGACATACCCCCTAAATGTTTGAAAGTCACAGCTATATTTATGAACCATTTTCTTCACTGTTCTCCAGGCGATAACGTTTCTTATCTGGGACCTTCGGTGCAGTAGAAATAACGTATATGGCTGGGAAGTTCCAGCTCGAGTGTTCAGAATGTGTTGGCAACAGCGCAACACTGGATCATTCCTCATCACTAAAACAAGCTTCAGCTTGCTCGCCAATGACCGTATCACGTGAGACTACCGCTCCCTTAGTTTCAAGCCTTGCCAACGGATCCAAGCATATTGTTATGACCCAGTGATTAACACATATTTATTCATGTGCATGTAAAGTTAAGCGCGCAAAATAATATAATGAAACATACGTGGAATAGGCTCACTTACACACCTATTTCCGTTTTAAGAGTTTAAGTGAATCTCACCAAAACCTTCAGCCAAAACCAAATGACATGCAAATGTGTGTCGCTAAGTTCGCAGAAACTGAATCCAACAAGAACATAATGTTGACAGAAACTCGAAAACTGCGCCTTTTTGGTAAGACAAAGCAAGGGCAAAACCGAACACACCCAATGCGGGAAATATAGCCAGGTGGGCCTTTCACAGTGATTTTCATGAGATGTGCACTGCTGATAATTCCTCACAAGAATAGAACAGTTGTACACAGCACTTAGGTTATTCAGTATAGGCTGGTTTCATTTACGGGGCGATTTCGCTATTACCGCCCCATTTCAAACGTAGAGCCATTGATGTACCAAGGATGTTGATCAAATACTATTAAGAGTTTAGCCGAAAGTCATCCAAAGGCAATGGCTGCAACTAAAACAGCAGTGTTCATTCAGTATTCCACATTGAGTGAAATCAACGGAAAATTTTAACGTCAGACCATCAGATTATTCTTTCTGTGCACCTTAGTTGAGAATAAATACTAGTTTAAAAAAGGGGTACCGGATGAAAATAAGTAAATTAGTCCATCTTCTGGGGCTTTCATTTTCAACAAGCAATCAACATAAATCTAACTAGACAGTAAATGAGTGGGAAATCTGGAGAAACCTTATTTGGTGGTATCTAATTGGAACGGGAAACTGTATAACAGTATGGTAAAAACGAATGATCTGCAGAAGAAACAGATCTGGGAACGATTTGAAAGGGACTTCCTCGTTAGACGTCCAGTCATCCAGCTGGTTCGTCCAGTTTAAAGACCTTAATGAGTCTGAATGTCGGTGGCATAATAAACTTGCTCATTTCCACATGTGTATTACATGAAGTCCAGAACAGTTCAATTGGCCCACTTGATCCAATCCCACAAGAGAACAAATTAACTACCTACGCCTCAAACAAACAAATACAGAAATGACTTTTTGGGACTAATTTATTAGTATGACCAGCAGTAATCCCACCAAATATCCCCAGTGTTTACGGGGAACTCAAAACACATTCCGAAAGCCTTGCCCATAAACGCAGTTCAAAGAATGTCCGTACCGATATAGTCCACCTAATTTCGAAGCCTGCTTGCTGAAAGTATCAGCTGAGTAATAATTAACCAGCTAACTGTGTTTTACGGACATTACCATCTTATGGTAATAATTTCTCTCCGCTTGTGTCCTCATCCCAAGTGGAGCACGCTGACACTGAGAAAGGACCATGATGCCCATATCATGACTAATTTTTGCCGAATATGTGTGCTCAAGTTAAATATTACCCATGTTACCATTGGGTTACCAGCAGGTGTCAACGTCAATCAACACCAGGTCGCGCAACGGTAACTAAATGATTAATGTTTGTGTGGCATTATGCTCACAATATTGCTCAGCGGCATGTAGATGGAAATTATAATACAAAAACTTTGGAGAGTGTGAAGTTTAAACTTCTTAACAAGAATGAAGCACTGCTATATTGTTTTTGGCTATTCAGCGTAGATTGGCTTCCCTTACAGGACAAAGTCAGGTTGCTGAGATACGAAACAAGTACGTTATTAAAATTAGTTTGTCTGCACAGAAAATTAGCAACATCCCAGTGACTCGCGTGTTACAATTGGAAGTTCCCCTCCTACACTTCAAGTATAAATACATATCTTTACTAATATCAAGGATTCGTTTGATTCCTTGGGAACCAGATTGGCTTACAGGACAAAGTCAGGTTGCTGAGATACGAAACAAGTACGTTATTAAAATTAGTTTGTCTGCACAGAAAATTAGCAACATCCCAGTGACTCGCGTGTTACAATTGGAAGTTCCCCTCCTACACTTCAAGTATAAATACATATCTTTACTAATATCAAGGATTCGTTTGATTCCTTGGGAACCCTAAGGATAGGGGTTGCTTCACGAGACCCGCTTCATCCTCACTCAGGTGGCAATCAATGTGAAGAACGCAGAGCCTGGTGATGTTCATTAAGGTATTTACAACACAACCAGAGTTATATCGAAATCAGCTTATTCAGACGTATTCAGAGTCAAGACACTGGTTGTCAAGGTGTCAGTCCGCAAAAAATTGTTTCCGGGTCCACGAAGTTTACTCAAATCAACCAAACAAAAAGGGCGTGGTAAGTGTTGTGTTACCCGGGTGTGGGAGCGACTGCATAATGACAGCTTAACTGGAGAATGAAGCGCGATAAGATGATGTGATCAGTCAGATCCTATGTTGGATACAAGTGAGTTTCTGTACAAGAGACAATTGAAGGCCAACATATGTCTGAATAGTCTGGAATTATGGTAGTGTTCTTAGATTAAGTAGTACATATGCTCACTTATTTGAAGAGCTTCATCTGCAAGAATAACTCAGTTACAATAAATACAACTTAATGTTAGCATTAAGGAAAGAGGCAATAAGAATGCTTCTTCCGAATAGCTTAACTGGAAATAGAAGTAAACAGAACGCAAAGAAACCAACCATGCAGCGACTGGACTCGAACTCACAGGCTGTTACTTGAAGGTCGAGACGCGTG